ATAATATTTTAATCAATAACTAAATTCTTAACCGGTGTTACGCTTTTTAAATATATAATATTGTATGTTGCTACTTGAGAGTTAAGTTTATTTACTTAAAGGTACGACCGGCTCTTTTGCTCTTTTGGGCGGTTGTATAAATTTACAAAGAGTCTCTAGGGATATTTTAGGGCAGATACAGGGTAGCTTCCTGTCCCGGCTAGGGTCCCTTAATTTAGCCTTAGAAGGCGGACAGTCATGGGTGTGATCCACTCACCGCATTGTACCGTAACAATAAATATTAGGTATAGCTTGAAAAAGGAACTGAAGAGGTATTCATTTACAATACCTAGTCAATTCTAATAAATCTAGATGCAGATCTGTGAGGGATTTTCACTGTCAGACTTACATAATAACTTATTAACATTATATATAAGTACATTGTCGAATTATTTTTTAATTTATTATTTAAAATCACATTTTTCAACTTTTCATTTAAGTTATACTCAAATGGGTTTTTATTATTGAAATTTATAAAAAAAAAAAAAACTAAAAGTATGTAAAACAATACTTGCAATATTATATTATAATGATAATTTACCTACAGTAAATTGTGTTTGTAAAGAAAAACTGTTTTTCAAAACATACGTTTTATGAAAATTAAGACAGAATGTTCATTAATCAAATTTCAATGAAATTATAATTTTTCTTTATGTATTTAAACCGATATTATACCTATATATTTAAAACAATTGTGAATACGTCAAACGCAAAAAGTCGAAAGTATTCGGTACCCGACAAAAAAAATACATTACAACTACGAAAACACAGTAATTAATAATAGTTATTATTTAATTATTATTTATATATATATATATGACAACTAATACACACATAGGAATATTTAATAATTAAATAATAACTATTATTAATTATTGTGTTTTCGTAGTTGTAATGTATTTAAGTAAATTAATTTCATTTATATATATATATATATAAGAAGTATACTTCTTAAGTATTTGAATTCTACCGCGTTAGTTCATAATGTAGAGTACTGATAAAACAACATGTGATAGGAGAAGGTGACTAAGCTGATTATAAAGTAACTATCAGGTTTAGAGCAATATTAAAAGTTAAAATAATTTGTTAAAATTAATTTTTAATCTGTGAGAGACAAGATTGTGATCAATAAACATTGAATGTTGTTTCTCATTTTTATAGGTTTGTAAATTATCTTATAAATAAGTTGTAAATAGCGTAAATAGCCTTATAATATAATAAACTCATTTTTACAGAGAAACGTTTCAGTTTGTTGTTATATTAATCTTGCCCCAGATAAACAATAAATAAATAACATATTATATATATATTATTCCATGTCTTTTCAATTTGTATTCCATGGGAAACCTAACGAACAATTTATTTTTCTCTTTCTAACGATATTGACTCCACGCAGTGCCGGATCTAGGGGGGGCAAGTGGGTACCCTTGCCCCGGGCGCTGTTGGTATAAGGGCGCTCTTAAGTATATGAAAAATAAAAAAAAAGCCATAATAAATAAATAAAATATGTATAAATTATAAAATATTTCCAAACATCTATCAAGAAAAAGTAATATTATTACTATTAATACTATAATATTATTATTATTCGTATATAATTATCTTTTGTTTATATTTTTGTCCGGTGTTGACGTCTTTTATAGTTGTCCAGTCTTTATCAGTCTATTTGTTTTCGGAGAAAACCCAACCTGACGATCGACGATAAATGTTTATTGTATATTCTTTGTTAAAAAAAAGTACCTACGATAATATTTTTAACGTTCATTTGTTCCTGACGAGCAGCCCTACAGTCGTCTCACATATTTTTTTATTATAACATTTATTACACGTTTACACCTAAAAACAAATAATGAGTTCAAAGAAAAAGCTTAGTGGGGCTGAAAATCGAAAACGAAAACAAGAAATTGAAAAAAATGTTCAAAAATTACCAAAAATCATAAATTTCTTTACAAAAACAGAAACCTGTGGTAAGCAATTTTGACACCTGTCAAATTAAATTATATATTTATATTTAACTTTCATCCGGGCGCGCCCCTTTCCGTAACACTCGCGGGCGCGCGGCGGTAACTTACCGCCTCTCTGTTGTAGTAAAATTTTCAATATCGTTGTAGGATACATTTAGTATTGAATTATGGTAAATAAATATAATATACCTACAAAAAATAAAAATTTAGAAAAAAAAAAATGTAAATTAAAAAAAAATAATACCATAAACGGGCGCGTCCTGATGGTAATTTACCGCTTAATTGTAGGTTAGTTCGACTTGGTACGTTTTACATTTACTTTAGACAAGTCACCATGAAACTTTAGCTAGTATGACACTATCACCTAGTGTCATATTATGTCATTTGAGAATACAAACCTTTCCCGTCTTCCTCATCGTGCTTAATTTATTCCTGCGCGCGTTTTTATGAATGGAGCGGTAATCTACCGCCCGCGCTCCCGGATGAAGGTTGTGTAATACATTTAATCAGGATTGAGATGTTTAAAATTTTTGTTTTGAACTTTTATTTAAAACATGTTTCAAACATCTAAATTGAATTGAATTCTAATTTTTTGTAACAATAAATTAATTTTTATTGCTTAATAAACAAATTTATAAAATTTAGTATTGAATATTAAATAATGAAAACATTTCATAAAAATCATTCACATTTTAGACTTAAGCAGGTATTTTTAATTTTACTAATTTGAATTATAAATATTGTTTATAAGTATTGTTTAGTCAAAACAGCTAATACAAGCTTAAAACATAAAAACTAATCAAAGGTCATATGTACAATCCAAAAAATGTATATATTGTAGTACCTTAACTCTGTGTTCATAAAACAATTGAATTAATGAATCTAATTACTGAATATGAATTAGTTAATATAAATTTAGTTAATTTATCACAAACATACCTTTCTTTACTTACCTTTAATTTATAGAACTGGTTCCTTCAAACGCTGAAAGTTCATCAACTATTATAGCCGAAGAAAAAAATACAAAAAATGTTATTTCTACAGAGCCTGCGCATAGTGATGTGGAGTATGATATAGCTATAGATGTGATTAAAAACAGTTGCGATAAAGTAGACACCATAAACTTAAATTTTGCTGATCTTGGTACATGGCCTCTAAATATTACAGATACACAAAGAACATATTTAGTGAAAATGAGGTACAATTATACTGAAATTCATGATTTTAGTAATTCGGAAAGAGACGGTAGAAATGTTAATTCCGACTGGTTTTTTAAGATACTTTTGAATGGAAAAAAATTAAAAAGGACATGGCTCAGCTATTCTTCTTATAAAAATGCACTTTTTTGTGTACCTTGTAAATTGTTTACTAAAATCGAAAACTCATCTAACGTATCGAAATTAGCATACACTGGCTTAACTAATTGGAAAAAAGTTACCGAAAAAATTCCATTACATGAAAATTCACCAATACATAAAAAAAATGTGTGTTCCTGGACTTCTTTGGAAATTGCATTGAATCAGTGTGAGGGTATAGATAAAGAATTGCAACTTTCTATTAGAAAAGAAGAATGTCACTGGAAATCCGTTTTACTGACAATTATAGACATTATAATGCATTTGGCAATGGAAGGAAGTGCGTTTCGAGGATCTAATGAAATTGTTTCGAGTGTGGGAAGTTCAAACCAAAGTGGAAAGTTTTTAAATTTGGTTAATCTAGTGTCTCATTATCATGAACCATTATCAAACCATATTGAAAGACATAAAAAAGGTGGTTTGTCTTATTTTTCTCATGGTATTCAAGATGAGTTTCTAGAGATTATTGCAAAAAGAGTTAAAGATGAAATTCTTTCAAAAATAAGAGAGGCGAAATATTATTCTATATTATTTGATTGTACACCGGACATTGCACACCAAGAACAGATGACCCAAGTTATTCGCTATGTTATACAAAATAACGAGAGTGAATGCGAAATTGTAGAAAGTTTTTTAAAGTTTGTGCGTGTATACCAAAAAACTGGTGAATCATTAACAGAAGAAATATTAGATTCTCTGTCAAAAGATAATCTTAGAATATCAGATTGTAGAGGACAATCATATGATAACGGGTCAAATATGAGTGGAAAAATTAAAGGAGTTCAAGCACGATTAATTGAAATTAATAAACTTGCAAGATTCATTCCATGCTCAGCTCACTCCTTAAATTTAATTGGTGTTAATTGTGCAAAAAGTATACCTGAAGTAGAAACGTTTTTTGGCATCGTACAGAAATTATTTAATTTCTTTTCAAGTTCAACGCAAAGATGGGATGTTCTAATGAATAATTTAAAGTTATCATTGAAAGGGTATAGTACAACAAGGTGGTCAGCTAAACATCGTGCCATAAAATCTTTAAATACTCAACTGGATATGGTTTTTAAAAGCTTTGACGTTCTTAAACAAGAAACATTATCAGAAGAAACAAAATTTGATGCAGATAATTTGATAAGATCACTTAAACGTTTACCTTTCATTTGTATGCTTACGGTTTGGGAAAAAATTCTCAGTGCAATTGACAGGATTAATATAATTTTACAAAAACCAAAATTAACAATTGATGTAGCTGTCAAACATCTTCAAAGCCTCCTTAAAATATTAGAAAACTTTCGAGAGCAAGGTATAAATGAGGCTTTATCCGATTCAAAGAATAAAGCTAAAGCATTAGGCATAGAAACTGAATTTCCAAAAGTCAGATTACGAAAAAAGAAACTTTTACCCGGAGAAATTGCAGAAGATGATTTTTATAACATAAGTAAAGAAAAAAAATTTTTAATAATGATCAAAAATGTTATTGACAATATTTTAACAGGACTACGTCAAAGATTTAAATCAATGGAAAATATCGCTCAAGATTTTTCATTTTTAGATCCAACAATAAATTATTCATGGCCTATGGAAGACTTAAAAAGATCCGGAGTAGATTTATGCAATAAATATGAAAATGACCTTAACAAATTTGAATTCATTTCAGAATTAGAGAGCTTCAAAGAGCATGTTTACAACATAAGTGAAGTTTTAAAAAAAGCAACCTTTTTTGAAATGTTGAATTTTATTTATAAAAATAAACTTCAAGATGCATATCCCAATATATCCGTTGCTTACCAAATATATCTAACAATGCCAGTTACTTCAGCTTCGTGTGAACGAAGCTTTAGCAAATTAAAATTAATAAAAACATATTTACGATCCACTACAGAGCAAGCAAGACTAAATAACCTATCGATTATATCTATAGAAAATAAAATAGCAAGGCAAATTAATTATGAAGATATAATAAATGATTTCGCAGCAAAAAAAGCTAGAAAAGTTAATTTTTAAATTTTCACAAATACAATTATTTTACTTAATCAAAATAACCAATTATAAATCAATTTTTGTTTATGTGTTTATATTTTTTAATCGTTTTTAAGTATAATATTGACTAGTATATGGTTTCAATAACATTTTTAATATAAAATTATACTTTATTATTTGTACCTATTTAAATATTCTATTTTGTGTTGACAACACCTGACACTCCGACCCCTGTAGCTCGTACTATATAAGGGCGCTAATTTTTTATTAGCCCCGGGCGTCAAATATCCTAGATCCGGCACTGACTCCACGGCAGTATAGGCGGAGTGTTGGAGGCGCATTCCATTTCTTTATAGGTCTATGATACAAACACTTACTTTTATATCACAACTGTTTAAAATACGGTAAACATGTGCACATTATTATGTACAGTGTGCACTGGGAAATTATCAGATATCACTAATTTTCAAGTTTCAATTTATATGTTATTGTTTATTATTAAAAACTTCAAAAAGTGTTTTTTGTTATTTTTTATTTTGATTCATTTATGATTTTAAAGATATAAACAATAGGATTTTTTTTGTGAGTTGGTTGCTTTCTGCATAACGGTATTCAAATGTAGAATGTGATTTTTTTTATATACATTAAGACAAAGTAGTAGTATTTTTCTGTGTTCAATATTTTTTTAATAAAAATAAAGTATGTAAAATTTAATGTCAACAACATAATATTTTATAACGTTGTACCTAATACATTTGTAATATTTTGAACTAAATGTAATATTCATTAATCAATGAAAAAAGTGCTTATTTATTACAATAAAGAAATCAAGCAACTGATACAAAATAGTTAACATGTACTATAATCTTTATAACTATTATTATTACTTAATAGACTAATATTATACTTCTTTAAAATATAAAACCTACCGTTGACTAACAATATCTTTTTTATTTTACCTTACGGGCAAAATGACATAATATATTATAATAATAAGAATAATTCGATATTCTCACGGGTGACAACCCACGGGTGTAGAACGAAAAACAATATTTATACAGTTAAACTATATAGAATATAGTAATGACCAAACGGGCAATGCAAAGAAATAATCCGAAATCTAAATATTATACTGAATACCATGTGACCAGGTAGCCAAATACGAGAGGATTTGTTGACAGATTTAGTCTGACGGATTAAATCCTTAGGTCCTCGATGGATTTGGTCTATCGGACTAGGTCCTAAATTGTGTCCACTAACGTAAAAATAAAATCAAGTGCAATAGCGAATCCACCAGCGGACTAAGCTGGTTAGTGGAGGAAATCCGTTGACTTTAGTGCTGAGGACCTAGTCCTCTGGTCCTTCAAGACACCCTGAAAGAACTGCGGGTTTATACCACGGATTAGAGCTTGTTTATCAGTTATTATTTTTATGTTATGAATTTGTGTTAAGTAAATGTTCTTTTATGCTCATAAATTTTAAATATATCTTTTATATATAATAATAAATAAATATAATAATATGCTTTCGAGAAAAAAAAAGTTGATAGCCGCTGCTGGGTTGATGGTCGGGTACCATTGTACCTCGAAATGAAAAATGAGGCGTAAGTGGGTCAAAAACTGGCTCGCTAGAATGGACTTGTTTGGTCATATGCCATTATTAAAAGAGTTGAACGAAAATGAACCAAATGATTTGAAAAACTATTGGAGGATGGTAAAACAACACTCCTTGTTTACTTTATAAAATTTAGTTACAATTTAGAAAAACCTAAATGTATCATTAATAATTTAGGAACTGAACATTATAAAAATTAACATTATGATAAATATTCACCGAGTCCG